ATGTCTATACCTCTTTTATACAAAGAAATTATTATATGTATAAACAGCTAAAAAATTTGGAAGAACAATCACAAAAAACTAAAACTGTGCTTTACAAAAATTAGCTTCTGTATTAGAAAAGAATCATAAATGAAACTAAATTAAATTTAAAAATTTAGAAAACAAGTTAGGGTTAGTTCATATAAATAATATAAATCAACAAGAAAACGATTAATAACCAAAAGAAAAATTGACAGAACATCAACAAAAAGAAACATAAATATATTTGAATAGTTCTGCATTGCACAGGAGAAAGAAATATAAACTAAAATAATCATAGAATACTTTTTCCAAATATACAGAAAATCTTTGCAATAAAATTACTCAAAGTTGGAAGTACAAAAGAATGCTTAGTGTATACCATCACTCATACAAAAGGGGGAGGGGGTGGAATATATAGTATTTACTTGGAAAAATACATAAGAAACTGCAAACACCAGCTGCCTTTGGGAAAGGGAGACATGTGGCCAGGAAACAAAATGAGATTTTTCTATTTACTATACTGTAAATTTTGATTTTTAAACCATGCTATTTATTACTTATTCAAAAATTAATTTGAAAAAATAAAAATACTGGACATGGACCTGGCCAGGTGGCTCAGTTGGTTGGAGTGTTGTCCTGTGTGCCAAAAGGATGCAGGTGAGATTCCAGGTCAGGGCACATACCTAGGTTGTAGGTTCAATCCCCAGTCAGAGTGCATATGGAAGGCAACCAATTGATGCTTCTCTCTGTTTCTCTCACGCCCGTGCGCGCGCGCTCTCTCTCTCTCTCTAAATCAATAAAAACATCCCTGGTGAGGATTAAAAAAAATACTGGACATGACAAAAAGTAATGTTAAAATGTTAGTTATGGCAGCAGTGACACAATGCTTCTTAAAAGCAGTATGGAGCAATTGGGTTTTTTTTCTGGACTTTCAATTCTATTCCACTGACCTGTATGTCTATACTTATGGTACAGTTTTAATTACTGTAGCTTTGTATTAAGTTCTGAAATCAGAAAGTATGAGCCCTCCTACTTTGTTCTTCTTTTTCAAAATTTTTTTTGACTATTTTAGGACCCCTACAATTCTGTATGAATTTGAGAATCAGCTTTTCAATTTCTACCAAAAAAGCTACTGGGATTTTGACAGGGATTGCAGTGGCAATAGATAAACAATATTAAATCTTCCAAGGTTTAATGCATACTAATGCCTTTCCATTTATTTAGGTCTTTTTTAATGTCTTTCAACAGTGTTTTGTACTTTTTAATATAAATGTCTTACACCTCCTTGGTTAAATCTATTCCTAAGTATTTTATGGCTTTTGATGCTATTATAAATGGAATTGTTTTCCTTTGAAACTTGTCCATTGCTTGTGTATAGGAATACAACAAATTTTTGTGTATGCTACAACTGTACTGAATTCATTTACTAGTTCTAATAGTTTTCTTGTGGATTCTTTAGTATTTTCTATAAGTAAGATCATGTCATCTGCAAACAGAGATAGTTTTACTTCTTCCCTTCCAATTTGAATGTCTTTTACTTCTTTTTCTTGCCTAACTGCTCTGGCTAGACCTCCCAACACAATGTTGGATATCAGTAGTGAAAGTGAGCATCCATGTCTTGTTCCCAATCTTAGGTGGAAATTTTTCAGTCTTTCACTAATAAGTACAGTCATGTACCATATAACAATGTTTCAGTCAAAAACATAATGCACATATGGTGATCCCATAAGATTATAACAGAGCTGAAAAAATCCCTGCCTAGTGAGGTCCTAGCCATTGTAATGCTGCAGTGCAAAGCATTTACTCACGTCTGTGGTGATGCTGGTGTAAACAAACCTACTGCGCTGCCAGTCATATAAAAATATAGCACATACAACTATGTACAGTACAGAATACTTGATAATGATAACAAATGACTATGGTACTAGTTTATGTACTTATAGTGTAACTTCTCTGTTTAGATACACAATACCATAGTGTTACAACTGCCTGCAGTATTCAGTACAGTAACATGCTGTACAGGCTTGTGTAACCTACGAGCAAGTCTAGACCATATGGCGTACGTGTATAGTAGGCTTCACCACCTAGGTTTTGTAAGTACACTCTATGATGTTCCCACAATAACAAAATCAGCTAACAATGCATTTCTCAGAACATGTCCCCATCATTAAGTGATACATGATGTTAACTGTGGGTTTTCATAAATGCCCTTAATCATATTGAAGTTCCCTTCTATTCCTAACTTTTTTATAATGAAAGGGTGCTAAACTTTGTCAAATGCTTTTTCTGTGTAAATTGCAATGATCAATCAAGTGGGTTTTTCTCCTTCATTCTATTAATGAGATGTTTTACATTTGATTTTCTTATGTTGCACCACCCTTGCACAAGGGGGATAAATCCTACTTGGTCATGGTGTATAATCCTTTAAATATGCTGTTGGATTCTGACTGTATTGGTATACTTTGACAACTAAAGATATACAAAGAAAAGAGACTACAATAAAACATACTAAATATTAATAAGTCATTATCTCTACATGGTAAATTTATGGATGAGATTTTCTTCTTTATACCTTTCTATATTTCTACAATGAATATGAGTATCTCTTAAAATAAAAATAAATATTTTATTGGTTTTAAAGAATATATAAAGAAGTTATCAAATCAAAACAAAACCTCATGTTCTATGGGCAATGGACAAAGACAAATAAAAACCATAATGGCCCATAAGCATATGAAAAGATGTTCAACCTCACTAGTAACTAATAAAATACAAATTAAAAACATTTTGGCCAAAATTTAAAAACTGGAGGGTTGCATAAAAATAAGACCTCTCCTACACTGCTGGTGAGGGTGCCAACTGGCTTAAATCACTATAAAAAATAATGTGGCAATACCCAGTAAAGTTTTAAAAAATGCTAAAAACCAAAACCTAGAGATTTCATGCTTATGGCAACATAATTTATAACAGCAAAAATTCAAAACAACCTAAATATTCAACCAGAGGAGATTTTAAAAACAGGATTTTCTCGCATATGGAATACCATACAGCAAAGATGAATGAACTAAAGGTATATATATCAACAAAGATAAATCTAAAATCACTGAAAGAGAAAAACAAGCTGAAGAATAAAAACTACAGTATGATATTTTCAATATAAAATTTATAACCCTACAAAATGAAACTTTTATGGCATATGGATACACAAATATGTGAAGAAAACATTAAAACATGAATGAGAAAAATAGCCCAATTCATAGTAATCTCTGGGAAGAAAGAAAGGGAGACACCTCAGGCAAGCTCAACTACATGAGAAATCTTATTTCTTAAGACAAAAAGACACAAATATGTCATAATTTTAATTGATGTATCTGAATTATAATACTGGTATTTGTAATAATATGCTCTATTATACTTGTCTACTTGAAATACTCCATAATAGAAATATTTTTAAGAAAAATGAAAATCAAAATACATGGTGGGGCAAAAATAGGTTTACAGTTGCTCATATGGAAAATAAAACAATAATTAATAAATAAATAATGCAAGAATAAAGTGTTTTGCATACTCATAGCTATAAACCTCCTTTTGCCCTGTAAACCTCCTTTTGCCCCAACCTGAATAGCCAAATGTCGATTATTTGGAAAAGGAACTTTATAGCAATTACTCAAAACAGGACCCTTTCTTTACTATGTAATCTTTTTTTTTTTAAAATATGTCTTTATTGATTTCATAAAGAGGAAGGGAGAGGGAGAGAGAGAAACATCGATGAGAGAGAAACATCAACTGGCTGTCTCCTACACGACCCCTACTGGAGATCTAGCCTGAAACCAGGGCATGTGCCCTGACCGGGAATCAAACCAGCAACCTCCTGGTGCATGACATGACACTCAACCACTGAGCCACACCAGCCAGGCTCCTGTATAGTCTTTATTTGGTAAATGAAAAAATCTGCTTATGACCCTAGATGATAATACTGGGTTTCATAAGCAAACATGAAACTAGTCTATTTGGAAGAAACCATAAACAAAACAAAAAATTGCTTATGAAAGTATGGTGCTGAATATCACCAAAGATCAATATTACACCTTTCTCAGAACTTAACACAGTTGGATTAGAGTTCTTTTAGTAAGCCTTTCTTTAATAAAGTGACTTCCTCATGCAAAATATGGCAAGCATGTAGAGGAAACATTCAGGGTTGTCACAAAAGTAATTATAAAAATGTTCTGGAATTAGAGAGTGGTGAAATTTATACAACACTGTGACTATACTAAAAGCCACTGAATTGTATGTATACTTTAAAAGTAAATTTTATGGCATGTGAATTATGTCTCAATAAAGCTGTTTGTTTTTAAGTAATGATTCTTCATTAAAGTGGCATTCCAGCATTCCAACAAAGCTCTTATTTCTCCATTTTACTACAATAACTGTAAGTTCCTTGAAATCAGAAACTCTCTCATTTACCTTTGGACATAGTAAACTATATAATAGGACAGCATGGAATCTGTTATTTTCCAGGCCAAAAGTCAAAATTTCTCACAATATCATTTAAAAAGTTGGTGACTGAGGAGTATTTTTAAGCACATTTTAAGATGAAGATCTACATTTTCCTTTAATGGTAGAATGCACTGGTGAAAATTCAGGTTGCCAATTACTTCTAAAAAGCTGCACTTTTCTGAAAAGCAGGCCCTCCCTGCCAAAAATAACTCTTTCCTTCTACTCGAATGAGTTCTAAAGGGTGGTTCCCAAGGTCTTTAAGGATCTAGAAACATTTCCTTATCTCTACCTAATACTCACCAGTTTCAGATCTTAGCAGAATCTAGTCAACTAAGACAAGCATCCACATGCCAAGAAAACCGTAAGAAGGGAGCAGACTTATGGAGATGCAGTATACTCCTTAGGGCCTAAGTAGTAACCAGTTTCATGCCTCACTGGGAAGGAACAATGGTTTGACCTAAGGCTCAAAGCTAGACACAAACCTGTTCTTCTTCTGTAAAGGGTACAAGAGCCAACGGCGGCAGGGGCTCCTCCTGTAGGATAGGCAGAAACTCTTTATCCAGAAGGTCTGAAGGTATCTGTTTGACCAAACACATGATCAGGAGATTAATGCTATCCCTCCAAGTCAAGAATAAAAAAAAACAAAAAACCTCTTCTGTTTATCTGTTGCTAATTATTATAAATATGGATAAAAAGCTTATTCAGTCACAATTAATTCTGGTGGCACTTACACATTCTCAGGGATCAGATATAAAAACCCCAGTCACCCACGCAGTCCTCCCATCAAACCACCATTTTCAGATTTGATATAGTACTAACTCTGGTATTCCAGAGTGCACAGTGGGAGAGTAAAAATCTCCACATTTAACTCAAAGCACACGGTGGTAAGATGAGTTTTACAAGCAACTCTATCTGTCCTTAGCAACCACTATTAAAATTGGAGGTTCAATCCATTAATAAAATTAAAAACAAAGTGTATTTTAAAATAGAAAATATTACTTCTCACTAGTGAAATAAAAAAAAAGCATTCTTCATACTGTATGAGTTTTGATCATTTTTAAGTGACACAAATGTGGCATCACATTTTAAGATCTTCACTAAAAATTTTATATTTAAGTCAAAAGGGAAAGAACAAGAGAAACAATTCCACTTCTCCCTAACTTCTAACTGGAAAGAAGAATAAGAGGTGCGGTAAAAAGGGAGAAATTCTTCCTTTCTCAGCCATCAAACTGGAGTAGAAAAAAACATGAGAGGTTAAGAGGAAACTAGTTAGACAAAGCATTAAGTACTGACTATTCTTCCTGTTTTCATGAAGCTGTCTACTCTAATAATGAATCTTCGGCCTTCTCTAAAAAAAAATAGAATGCATTACCTTTAGAAGAGCCTCTGTTAACTACTGCAGGTTTCAAAGCACAAAAAAAGGTATAGTAGAGAGGAAAACCATGGGTCTTTCATACACCAATACATCACTGTACATACCCCAATAATTCATTCAGAATAATTCTTAATCTTTCCTTTCTTACCTTGTTGTCTTTAAGGAAAAGTGCTAACATTTCTTCTCTGCCATAACGATAGTCTGCTAATTTATACTTAGGCAATGCTGGAGAAAGAGGAGGAGATGTAATACTCCCACCACTAGACAGAGCTCGGAGCCTAGAAAAGGAGACACACAAAATACAATAGTGAAGTGTCAAACATTCTGGCACTAAAATTTTTTATTTTTATATAATATACCATAAAATTTTTCATTTTAGCTCTTTAAAAGTACATAAATAAATTCCATTATCTCAAGATATCCAAGATTTTAGCTTTTTTAAAACCTGCTGTCATAACACATTAAGAGAGCAGTTCATTGAGAAATAACTAGACAAACACGTGGCAATTCCTTAACCTAAAAGGTATCATGGCACATCCCTGAGAAGCTTGGAAGGTGTGGAGGGGATACTTTTCTCCAAACTATAAAAATAACATGATTAAAACAAAAGTGATATCTCATTAGGTTACACCCATTAGTTTAATAAAAATGAATAAATCTGACAATACCAGTTGCTGGTAAGAATGTAAAACAATTCCCATGTAGTATTTGTGAGATTATAAATTAGAACAACCGCTTCAAAGAATGATTTGCTAAAATTTAATAAAGTACATAAAAAGGACACGACACACACAAAAAAAGCAAAATACAGACTCTTATAAAGACACTGCAACATAATTCATATAAACTTGCAATTAGGTTTATACTGTTCAAGAGCACAAACAAAATGCAGCAAAAGCATAGACCCAAAATGAATAGACAAATACAAAATTCGGGATAAGAAGGGAGAGGAAGAGATAGAAACACTGAGAGAGAAACATCCATCAGCTGCCTCCTGCACGCCCCCTACTGGGGATCAAACCCGCAACCCAGACATATAACCTAAGACTGGGAATCGAAACAGTGACCTCTTGGTGCATGGGATGATGCTCAATCCACTGAGTCACACCAGCTGGGCCATTATTCATTTTTAATGAAAGCAATTAATGATCAGTGTAGAGAATTTGAAAATGCAGTGATAAGTATAAGAAGAAAAAATATAAAAACCATATTCACTGCTAAGAAAAAAAAAAATGTACTCCAAGGTGATACTAGCTGTTGCCTCTGAGGAATGAAACTGAGGAAATAAAAATATTTTGTTTACTCTTGAGATGTTTTTATTAAAACAAAAAAAGGAGGGAGTGAACCTTAGTAAAGAATGACAGCAAGTGGCCCTGGCCAGTTTGGCTCAGCGGTTAGAGCGTTGGCCTGCGGTCCGGAGAAACCCGGGTTCGGTTCCCGCTAAGGGCACGTACTTCGGTTGCAGTTTGTCCCCGGCCCTGGTTGGTCGTGCGGGTGGCAGCCACTCGGTGTGTCCCTTCGCGTCGATGTTTCTCTCTCTCTCTCCCTTCCTCTCTCTCCCTCCCACTCTAGCTGTACAAAAAATGGAAAAATATCCTCGGTTGAGGATAAAAAAAAAAAAAAAAAAAAAGAATGACAGCAAGTGGAAAAACAACTATCGGGAGTAGCTGATGATCTGGGGGCTGCCCAAAGTTCGATGAAGTAATAGATACCAAGGGTAAATGGGACCTTAATTCATAGTTTAACCTAAAGAAAAATTCAATAGAGGCATTTAAAAAATCCCCCAAATTGCTAAGCTTTACTCACAAAAAAAGAGTGGAATAATCTACTAATTACACAATTAAAAATATAAAAGCCAAGCACAGTAAATACTTTCATATTATTCAAAAATGGCAGAAAAAACTGTATATGCACAGTAAATATAAAAATGTGTTTACATGTAGAAAATAACCTATAAAAAGGAATATGCATTAGTAAAGTGAGACTTTTTTTTCATTGTTTCTATCTCCTTTCCCCTTTTTCTCTCTCTAACATTTGATTATGGACAATTCTGAACATATATAAAAGTACTAAGAACATAAGGAACTCCAATGTATCAACCACCCAGTCCCCAAACCAACAACCCATAGCCAATCCTGCTTCTTCTACCACCCCATCTAACCCTCCTCTGATATTATTTTAAATAAAATCACTGGCTTTCCATACTTTTTGAGGAAAGCTTTTAAGGAAAGTTATCATTTCATCTATAAACATTTCAGAATATTATCTCTGAAAGATATGGATTTTTTAAGTCTGAATTTTGCTGATTTTTATCCTGTGGTATAGTTGAACACACTTCTCTGTTCTCTGCATTTCGTGTAAATAGGCGAGTGGACGTACAGACCTGACAGATTTGCACGTCTACTTCCATATAGTGGACTACTGCCACTGGGAGGCACATGCTGCCTGGCTGGGTATGAGGCTTGCAGTCCTTGATGACCAAAGCAAGCTCAGATCCTTACATCCACAAAGGTTACAAAGTGACCTTATTCTACCATTCCTTCTTTATTTAGAGAAACTAAGAGAAACTTCCTTCTAATACTATTTGGTATTGTTACCCAATAGTATAGCTCATATAGCAAAGGATGGAAAAGGCCTTGACTCTATTTGTTTTCAAAATAATTAGTTGGCTCACCAGCATCCTCCAATGGTACCAAATGTTTTTTTAATTTACTGATTTGAGAGAGAGAAAGAGAGGGAAGGAAAAAGAGAGGAAGAGAGAGAGAAACATCAATTTGTTAGTTGATTCTTATATGCACCCTGACGGGAAGATCAAACCCACAACCTTGGCATATCAGTGTGATACTCTAACCAACTGAGCTACCCGGCTAGTGCAACAAATTCTTTTTTATTAATGTATTTCAACTCACGGTAATTATTCTTAATATTAAAATTATCTTGACCACCACTGAGAGACTCTTCAGGTTAGAGTCCCTTTGACACAGCCCTCATTGTCTTTAACAGCTTCATTTCTAGCTGGTATGTCAAATGTTCCAAGGCTATGCTGGTATTATTTCTTGTCTTAGACCAAGAATCAACCATTTCTCCAGGAAGCCAGATTCTCTTTACTATATATTAAGACCACAATCGGGGTTCCAGGAGTGATCATAGCTACTAGGTGGTATTTTGTTCTGTTTTGTTTTCCAATTATCCTTAGACTCAGAAGTCATTCTTTCAAACTCCTGAGACAGGTTAAAAATAACCAGGAAGGAAACAAAATGTCCACAAAGAAGTGCTCCAACCACTGCTAAAGGACCTTCCAGAAAACTGCTTTCCATCAAATTCATGTAAAGTTGGGTTTGTTCCTTAAAAAGTGAAATCAGCCCTGGACGGTTTGGCTCAGCAGTTAGAGCGTCAGCCTACAAACCAGAGAAGCCCAGGTTCGGTTCCCGCTAAGGGCACGTACCTCTGTTGCAGTTTGATCCCAGCCCCAGTAGAAGTCGTGCAGGTGGCAACCAGTCGATGTGTCTCTCTCACCTCGATGTTTCTCTCTCACGTTGATGTTTCTCTCTCTCTCTTCCTCCCTCTCTCCCTCCCGCTCTATCTAAAGATAAATGCAAAAATGTCCTTGAGTGAAGATTTAAAAAATTAATTTAAAAAAAAAGTAGCAACACCAAAATATTTTTTTTTTAAAGTGAAATTAATATCCACTGAGAACTGAGGCTAGGAATTTTACACATACATTACCTCATTTAATTTCATTTAAGCTTTACAACAACCCCAACATAACACATAAGAAAAATGAAGCCAAGGGGTTGATTAAAAAACTTGCCCACAGTCATAAATAGTAAAACAAGGATTCAAACCTAGGATTTTATAACTAAAAAGACCAGCTCTTTCTAAGACCTCCAAATTTCATTTTAAAAAGTCAAGGTTTGCCCTGGTCGGTGTGGGTCAGTGGTCAAAGCATCGGCCGGCCCATGCACCAAAGTCACGGGTTTAATTCCCAGTCAAGGGCACATGCCTAGGTTGCAGGTTCAATCCTCAGGGTGTGTGCAAGAGGCAACCAATCAATGTGTCTCTCTTACATCAATGTTTCTCTTCCCACCTCAAACCCCTCCCTCCTTTCCACTTTGTCTAAAAATCAATGGAAAAAAAATCTTGTCGGGTGAGGATTAACAAATAAATAAATAAAACAGCCAAAGTTTATCCTGTTGAACATCAATTTTAAAACATACATATACATATATATTTTGCTTGTTGTTGTTGTTAATCCTCACCCAAAGACATTTTTCAATTGATTTTTAGATAGAGTGAAAGCGGGGGATGAGAAACAGGAGAAATATTGATGTGAGAGACACATTGACTGGTTGCCTCCCACATGACCCTGAACAGGGCTGGGGATCAAACCGGCAACCCAGGTACGTGCCCTTGACTGGGAATCAAACCCGGTCTTCAGGCCAATGATCTAACACTGAGCCAAACCAGCCAGGGCAAAATATACATATATTTTTAATTAGAAATTATTTTAAATTCTCTTACACTAAGCCAATATACTCTCCAATAGTTTCTACCACTAGAGGGCACCTCTAAGTGTTCTTTCTAATGAAATCATTCAGTATTGGCAAACAGTCACTATGTCTCATCAGATATTTCCTTCTCATGGCCCAACACCCCTCATTACTTGACCTGCTCCTCACAAGGTTTCAAATCCACTTACCAACCTGGTTCCCTTCCAATGCACCCCTCCCCCCCTCCAAGGTTTTCTAATGTCCAGGGTGAACACCTCATAGCCACCAGATCTATTAAGAGTAAATTCACCCCAGTGCATCCTCAAGAGATTCCTTCAACTGCTGTGAGGAGAACAGACCAAGGCAAGCTGAGAGTAACTCAAAATTAGAGAAGATAGTAACCTGAATCAGAACACTTCTTGTGCTCTACAGTTGTCCCTCGTCACTTCGCACTTCGACTTTCGCGGCTTCACTCCATTGCGGTGTTTTCAAATACGAGACTTAAAAAAACGCAATAGAGTGAAGCCGCGAAAGTCGAAGCGCGAAGTGGCAGGGATGACTATATATAAATAAAGAATCCTACTTCGCGGAAATTCATTTATCGCAGTAGAGTCTGGAACGGATTAACCGCAATACATGAGGGCCAACTGTACTCGGTACAACAAATCCTATTCC